GAGGGCGAGCGAGGCGCCAGGGCGAGGCGGCGGGGAGGCGATGGCGGGCGGGGCAGGGGGGGCGGGCGGGGGGGGCGGGGGCACCGGAATGCTGAATCGGACAGTTGAGAGAAAAGAGAGAGGGCGTTTCAGAGCGCAAAGAAGCGGGTGAAGAGTGGATTGCAGAAAGAAAACAACAAAAATGTTGTTACGATAGGCAAGCAGCTCGCAAGCAATTTTAAAAGAGAGAATTTGAGATTCTCACGACATAAGACAACTGAGGGAATGCTATAGGCATTCCAGTGTAATGCGGCACAAAGTTTAGAACACCATAGTCTGCACAATATAGGCCTTTTAATGTTAAGATAGGGATTTTTTATTCATTAGGTCTTGGCTTCAGCTATTATTGCCTTTTTATTCTCCCTCAGACATTAGATCAGTAGGTCCGTTGCGATTCGTTGATCACTCCTTTGTTTGGGTCTGTCAATGCTTCTTTTCCCTCGAGGTGTGTAGAAGAGGAGGATTATTTTCCGTTCTTAGTACATGGTCTTTCCATTTTTTCTATATTCTTCGATTTTGTCGCTTAGATTAAAAATTCCATGGTTCCCCCTGATGAACTCGTTAATCAATCGGCCTCTTCTTGTTACTCCTAGGTTCGACCTCAAAACTCTCCTTTTAGCAGCCTGTACTCTGCTATAGGTTTTGAAATTTATAATCTACTTTTCACTTCCATATAGACCACAAGGCACTGCCATAACTTTGTAAAATTTTGGGATTGAATCTTTTTGTACTTCACCTCTAAGGTTCCCATTATGGTGCCACACATAAGGTTGAATCTTTAGATCTTTCTTTGAATATTAATACTTCTCCGAAGTATGATAATTCACATTCTAGAAATCTAAAAGTATTTACTTGTTATCCAATTATCTTATCTTCTAGAAAGTGCTTACATCTTACGGAGTGAGAACCTTGGACAGCCATGGACTCGGTTTTACTGGAAGATGCATGCAAATTGTACATTTTTGCGGTTTTGTACAATTCGTAAAGGGCTCTCTGTTGAATGTCTTCATTATGATCAAGTAAAACCCGGTCGTCAAAAAAAAACAAACGTTTTAATAAAATTTGTTCCTTGTAAGTTGTCTTCAATTATTGACAAAAATGTTATTATTATACTAGTTTTATTTTGTATTTTCTCGCGCTTAGACATAACGAATCAATTTATTCAACTAAAATGACAGATGAATAGAAAAGCAAATCAAGATTGATGGATTGATGTTAACGGGCACGTAATCTGCTGTGGTCATTAGTGCCGTTAGCGAAAGGAATGTTAAATCGCGGGAGATACCTCCGTCACTGGATGGTGTGATCCGGCGCCGACTTACACGTCAATTTTCTGTAGATTTCTTCTCTAAGCGTCCCTGCTGCGGAGCACGGAACCTGCCGGGAAAAGCTTTTAATTCCCGACTAGGTCTCTCGACATCTGTGGTAATGTAATACATTTGAATTGTGTGAGTGTGTGAGAGAGAGAGTGTGAGTGTGTGTTTGTGTTTGCGAGTGTGTGAGAGAGAGAGAGAGAGGGAGAGAGAGGGAGAGAGAGAGAGAGAGAAAGGGGGAGAGAGTGTGAGGTAGGCCTTATAAAAGATCTATGTTCTTTATTATGAATTGACCTAAAATGAAACCACAGAAACAAACTACGATGGTTTTACTTAGTTCATGATTCGTGGCGATCAACAAAGCATGTTCATAATACTCAATAATAGTCAAACAAAATTAACCAGAAGTCAAAAGAAGGGGGAAAATTTCCACGATACAGAGTTTTGGAGAGTTTTCACGAAAGGTTTTGAAACAAACGTTCACGATTTTCCACAAGAACAAGATAACGCAGAAATAAAAACAGTGAAAGAACAAAGAATCGATTGCTGACCTTATTGCTTTTTCTTCGGTTCTCGATCACCTTTCGAGAGCATCGTAGCGAATCGTTCTTTAAGAGCGACTCTCAGATGGTGTGCTTCAAAAGTTTGTTTTCAGAAAGTCAGATGTTGCAATCTATTGTGTGGTATCACATGAAACGATTTTGAGAAGTTTTGTTTCCTCTACAAAGTTGTTAATTCTAAGTATTTGAACGAGAAAATAAAATTTCACAATGTTGAAAAAAATTGGATTTTATTTATTTACATCTCATTGTAAAACAGAAGAAAATTTGATCTCACAAATTGAAATTCTTAATTTGAACATAAGAGTTGGAAATCTGAATTAATTCGTAAATGCCATATCGTTTGGAATGTAATTGTATCACAAACAAAATTATGCCAGTGATACACACATACACACAATTATCTTTTTAGAGATTGTTCTCTCTTGTAATTTCATAATAAATATGCCAATTCAAAATAAAATAATTAATATATATTTTTCAAGTAGAATTCATTTGTGTGTGTGCGTGTAGTCAGTTACAATGGCTGTTTGTGGTACATGTCTAACCATTTAATTATAGAGATTGCAGCACTTGGATCTCTTATGGCCTGGTGTACAACATATCATACATATGATGCTATTCGAAAGAAAACTAGATGGAATGTGCAACATATCTAAATTTTCATATCTCTTAGTATTATTAATCAACAACACATATTTAAAAAAAGTTCATGACATCATTTAAAGTACCAAAATTGAGATATATATTGCAATGAGTAAGAAATTTTCTTATTTAAATATTCAAAGTGTAAGACTAATTAAAAATATTGAACTTAGGCCATTTTCAACATTTCAGAGATTGCAATGAAAATCGATACTAGTTCGTAGTTGTAAATATAATTTTCTCTATTCGGTAAACTAATGTACAGAAAACATGCCACATTCCTGAAAAATTGAAAATGTTCCAAGCAACTCATATAAAACTGTCCCCAAAATCAATCGTTTTAATGATTTCCGTAACGACCCAACTAAGTAATACTCCTGACAGATTTGCCAAGTTTGATCTCAAAAGCTTCTATGCAGATATAGTTATGCGCGACATTCTGCTTTATTAGCAAAGAAATGTTTTGGATCCAGGTCTTATTCAAATGTGTTTAAATATGGAAATAATCATAGACACTACATGTAACGCATGTTACTTCAAGCTGTAACGGTCCCAAATTATTTAATTTTCTTGGAAAGGAGGTCAAAGTGTTGTTGAATACATCTGAGAACTGTGAGAGAAATTTATTTGACAGTCAATTTGTGCGATCTGAGGGTGATTATGGGGGAACATGAAATTTGCATATTTTTGACTGTTGTTTTACGTCATAACAAATTTGAATTTTTTGACATTTGGCTAAAATTATATGCTGTGTAGATGAATAGTTTAGTGCATATTAGGTCAAATTTCATAGGAGCATATTCAAATAATTATAAGGTCATATTTTGTATATTTCATTAAAATAGATTTATCACTACAACATTTCATCATTTCTTGGAATCTATGTATTTGTTAACGTTCATTGATTAGAAACAGATTGTCACAACGCAGGAATAATGCAACCAGAGCAAAGAAAACTAACTTTCAGATTTCAAGACCCTGTAGGCTGAAAATCACCAGACTTTACGTTAGGCAATATGCGTATGATATTTATCACATAAAGTAATGCAGCACTAAAATTATAAAAATAAAGTGACATTGTAAGCAAAAATACATTGTTGTTATGCTATTGCGTATTTCCCTATAAATGATGAAATATAAGATGTAGGATATTTCTTGAAATATTTTTTACACAGGTAGAAGAAACGCAACAAGATATACAATGTACCTCACTAAAGTCAATATTGATATCAATTATTTCTCCCAAAAAGTAAAGTAGATAATATCGTGTTTGTTCATTCCAAGAAAATTGAAAATGAATATGAAGAAAATTGCTAAGAAAATTGCAAATGAATATGCAACACTCATTAGTACAACACATGTGTGAATGTAGATCATGTATAGGTACTGGATGAAGTTGTATCTCTGCTCAGATTATAGGGTAGGTGCCCGAAACAGGAGAAGAAAATTGTAAGTGTAAGAGTCATAAGCAGGGGGTTTGATGACCTAAAACATCACTAAAAATGATAAATAAAATGCTCATAAAATGTTTCAAAAATGCCCTAAAAGGAAAAAAAATGACATAAAACTGAGCAATAGCAATTCTGTTAAACAACTCGAACTGCTGGATATGTTACTGATGGTTACTGTTGCTGATATGTTACTGAGGTTTCGTCCTGTTGTTCAAATGAACTCAGCTTGCAAACTTCTAATTTGGACTGTTCTTTAGCAGGAAATCTGTGTCATTAGTTATACCGAAATAGGCCGAACCGACAACGGCGCTAATAGGAGTCAGAGGAACCTTACATTACATACTCTCAACGGCTATCATTGTAATTACTGTGAGAAAAATCAAATGTGCTACTGAGGAATTCGGTGAAGAACATTTTGTTGCATCTCGTAAATATTATTTGAAACAAGTACCATTAAAATGATATTAAAATCAATGAAATCGGCGAAAATGCTTTAAAAATTACTTATTAGTTAAAATGGACGAAAAACGCACAAAAATGACAAAAAGGGGTCATTTTCTTTCGTCAAAACAAAATGTACAAACCATAAATATATTGTATTGTATATACCCTAAAAAATTGTATAAATCGTTTTATACACCATAAAAATACTACAAAAACAATTTTTATACTAAACGGCATCGTTTTGGAGCAAAAAAATGGCATTTCATTAAAATCCACCCGTTAATGATAAATTACTACAGAAAGAAAAACAGACATCAGTTGACAGTTACAATCATTACAATTAACCATAGATTTTTTTACTACATTACCTTGTTAGGAGGATAAACATTATAATGGAAAGTAATAGTGTCATTAACACGAAAGGCATCGGTGGTGGAGTGAGAGTCGTCGAACAGTTGGATGGAATTGACAGCACCAACTGTCTAAGTAAAGAATAAACGGGCGTCAGTAGCCAGAGATATGGCTAGAAGCTAGAGAATGCTAATAACTATCATGGTGAAAGTCTAGACTTACGACGTGGTTGCTGTGACAAAGTATAAAAGAAGAATTGGTATACGGCTGTGGGTATGTCTGTGAAAGTGACAATAGCGGATGAATATTTAAAGTAGAGGTATTAGTCAAAGTAGCGATTGCAGTGGAAGCGCCATGTATCCATTACAGGGCCTGCGACTGTGGTGAGTCTGGCTGCGGCCGCAGCACGAATTCCCCTGAGAGAATAATGACAACGGCTGTAACAGTGACATCTTTGTTACCAGTGGTTATGACACTAACTGTAGTGGAGACAAAGGCAGTGTTGATGAAAGTGAAGGGTCGGTGACAGTAGTGGTGGCAATGAGGGCGGGAGCAAAGTTGGTGCCGGTGGTGGAGGTGATGGTGGTTGTGGTGGTGGCCGGCGCCCGCGGGCCCCGTACGTTTTATCCCCGCCCGGGGGCCCGTAACTTGGACCGGGCCGCCGTAAACCGCGTCCGTCCGCAATTGAAAAAGTGCGCTTTGCGTGGCGTCGCGTGCGTCGCGTGGCGTCGCGTGGTGGCGTCGCGTGGCGTGGGCGTGGCGTCGCGTGGCGTCGCCGTGGCGTGGCGTCGCGTGGCGGTCCGCGTCGGTGGGCGTGGCGTGGCGTCGGCGTGGCGTGGCGTGGCGCTGGCGTCGCGTTGTTGGTTAACGTCGCGTGGCGTGCGTTTGCGTGGCGTGACGTGGCCGTGGCGTTGGAGTCGCGGAGGGCGTGGCGGTGGGCGTGGCGTGGCGTGGCGTCGGGTGGCGTGGTCGTCGCGTGGCGTCGCGTCGCGTGCGTCGCGACGCGTGGCGTCGCGTCGCGTGGCGTCGCGTGGCGTCGCGTTCGGCGTGGCGTCGCGTGGCGTGGCGTCGCGTCGCGTGGCGTCGCCGTCGCGTGGCGTCCGCGTCGCGTGGCCTCGCGTCGGCGTGGCGTGGCTCGCGGGTAGCGTCGCTCGCGTGGCGATCGGGGTGGCGGTGGAGTGGCGTCGCGTAAGGCGTCGCGTGGCGTCGCGTGGACGTGGTGTGGCGTGGTGTGGCGGTCGCGTCGCGTGGCGTCGCGTGCGGTCGCGTGGCGTGGCGTGCGTGCGTGGCGTGACGAGGCGTCGCGTTGGCGTGGCGTCGCGTGGCGTCGCGTCGCGAGTGGCGTGGCGTCGCGTGGCGTCGCGTGGCGTCGCGTGGCGTTCGCGTTGCGTCGCGTGCGTCGCGTGGCGTCGCGTGGCGTCGCGTGGGCGTCGCGTGGCGTCGCGTGGCGTGGCGTCGGCGTGGCGTCGCGTCGCGTGGCGTGGCGTTGGCGTGGGCGTCGCGTGGCGTCGCGTGGCGTCGCGTGGCGTCGCGTGGCGTCGCGTGGCGTCGCGTGGCGTCGCGTGGCGTCGCGTGGCGTCGCGTGGCGTCGCGTGGGCGTCGCGTGGCGTCGCGTGGCGTTGCGTGGCGTCGCGTGGCGTCGCGTGGCCGTCCGTGCGTCGCGTGGCGTCGCGTGGCGTCCGCGTGGCGTCGCGTGGCGCGCGTGGGCGTCGCGTGGCGTCGCGTGCGTCGCGTGGCGTCGCGTGGCGTCGCGTGGCGTCCGGCGTGGCGCGGCGTGGCGTGGCGTCGCGTGGCGTGGCGTGGCGATGGCGTGCGTGGGTCGCGTCGCGTGCGTGGCGTGGCGCAGCAGGGCAAACGTAACATAAGCATAACTCATAAGAACGTAACATTGACTTTGGTTTAATAGACTGAAAGTATTTCAGAAATGTGTAACATCAACTTAAGCTAAATAAGAGATTCTATTGGCTATGAGACATTCTAGTTTACTATTGGTTGGATGTCAGAATCGATTTCGAAGTGTTACTGTGTCCATACTCATACGGCGTTAGTTTGTCCATCACGTTCCTCCTATTCGATTCTCCGATTTTGAGGTTACCGTACTGTAATTGGTTAAAATTTCTTAACGCTCTTACTTAAGCAATAAGCA